GCAGGAATGTCTCTTAAGACAAGATTTTTCAAGAATCATAGTCATTACCCACGACATCTCGCCAGAAGCTTTTGTCCCCTGAGGTCCTCATAGGAAAGCTGTTGATGGTATGGGCTGGATGAACAGGCAGTGAGGCAGGCTGAAAAGTGGCTGGATGGCAGGGGGCCGCGGGGTGTGGCAGAGTCTAGTTGGAGGCCAGTAACTAGCACTATACCTTAGGGGTCAATGCTCAGTCCTGTCCTGTTCAAGATCTTCACTTGGGCCGTGGATGATGGGGCAGAGTGTACCCTCAGCACATTCGCTGATGGTACCAAACCGGGAGGAGTAGCTGATACACCAGAGGGTTGTGGTCGTGCTGCCATCCAGAGGGACCTCAACAGCCTGGAGAAACAGACTGACAGCAACCCTATTAACTTCTGTGAGAAGTGCAAAGACCTACAGCTGGGGAGGATGAACCCACCGCACCAGCATAAGCTGGGGGCCACCCAGCTGGAAACAAGCTTGACAGAAAAGGAACTGGGGTTCCTGGTGGACACCAAGTTGAACATGAGGCAGCAGTAGAAGGCAGATGGTATCCTGGTCTGTTAGAAATAGTATTGCTGGCAGGCAGAGGGAGGTGATCCTTCCCCTCTCCTCCACACTGGTGAAGCCAGACCTGGACTCCTGTGTCCTCTTCTGGGCTCCCCAGTACCAGAGAAACTCTCTTGAGTCCAGCAAAGGGTCACAAAGTTGGTGAAGGGACTGGAGTTTCTCTCCCTGCAAAGAAAAGCTGAAAGACCTGAAACTGTTGAGCCTTGAGAAGATGCTGGAGGGAGATTTACTAATATGTGTAAATATCTGAAGGGAGGGTGTAAAGAAGAGGGAGCCATGCTACTTCCATTAGTGCCCAGGGGCAGAACCAGAGGTCATGGGTGGAAAGTGAGACACAGGAGACTTCCCCCTGATAATCAGGAAACACATTTTGACTGTGAGGGTGACAGAGCACTGACACAAGTTGTCCAGGGAGGTTGTGGAGTCTCCATTTTTGGAGATACTTGAAAGCCCTCTGGATATGGCCTGGGCAACCAGCTTTAGGTGGCCCTGCTTGAGCAAGGGGGGTGGAATAGATGTCCTCCAGGGTGCCTTCCCACTGACTTTTCTTGATTTCTAAAAGCAAATGCTAAAGAAAATTCTCTAAGTTACTTAATGCTGGA